GGTTGAAAGGAAAGCTTGGATCAAGAGTTCTACAGATTATTTCATAATTTTGCCAAAGTTTCAAGTGGGTTCTCATCTTCAACTTCCAATCCTGAGGTAGGGGTGTCTTTAACCTGTTATATCTTTGATTTGAGACCCACATGTGGTAATTTCATTAGATATTCATCCTTATATATATGTATATATATGTATGTATATGTGCATGGATTGTGTTGGTTAATAAATGATTTGGCAGGATGTGGTCAATACTTCATGATTTTGGATGGAATGATGTCTATTATTGATGATTTTCGTTGTTAATGAGGAAAATTAGTCTTTAATTCATAAAAGAGAGGAAACCCCAAATTTTCCACAAACCCTAGTTTTGAGATTTCTTCACTAAAGAGGGGTTTTGCTCAATTGGTTTCAACAACATGAAATTGAATGTATTTACATAACTTTAAGGTTGAAATGTTAGATTTGAAGCTTTTCTTTATATACACCTTAAGTTGGTAAAGGTTATTAATGAGGTATCCACCATCATAGATGTGTAAATTAGTGAATTGTTGTGAATTGAAATCATTGTAGGGATAGGGAAACTTGAAGATTTATAAATTCATGCATCATATGCATTCCAAATTTCTCTTTTGACACTATGATGAAGTGATTATTGAAAAGCGGAAGGGGGTAAATAGTCTATGAGTCCAAGTAGTGAGTCGGGTTGGTTTTTGAGTTATGTAGTGTAATTGGTACCCACGCAGAGAGTCAAGGTACTCAATTGTCCTTTTTGCGCATATCGCCAGATGAATGTGGAAAAATATTTTTTGGCGTCCATGAGCCCGCCATTTCAAGAGTCAGCAAATGTGGAAAAATGGTTTTGGGGTGTCCATGATTCAGCCATTTCAAGAGTTGGCAAATATGGAAAAACGTGGTTTTTGAAAAATGGTTTTGGGTGTCCGCGTCCCCGCCGTTTTTGGAGCTGGAAAATGCAGAAGGGAAAAATGTTTTTAGGTGCTCGTCGCCCTGCCGTTTTTTGAGCCAGCAAATGTGGGACTATTTTCAGTATACAAAACTATATCTATATATGTATGCTTTGATTTTTGGCTCGTACTTGGGATGTCATAGTATATTTACCGCCCGTGGATAATGTGGAAAGATTGAGCAAATTTCATGCATTGCATGTTTTCACTCACATACACAGACACTTATATACATCTTCATTTCTATATTTCAAATGTTTGCGTTGCATGATCATGTGTCTTTCAATTAATTATATAACTTGTTAAATTCAATACCTACTGAGCTTTTGCTCACCCCAAAGCTAACCAGTCTCAGGAAATGAAGACTAAGCATCTCCTAAGTGATTTCTTGAGAAAAAGAAAATCCTTTTGGAAGGTGAAACCTTTTGTCGAAATCTTTTGTGTTCAAGACTAAGGTTGTAGTGTAATTGGATGTCAGGTTTATGCTAGTGTAGCAAGGAACACATTTTTGAAGAAAGTCGACTTGCACTTGTCTTATTGTACATTTTCTTACTTTTGAACTATTTTCTTTTGTTTATGGATTTAATGAGATGATATTGTAAATCTTAGGGGATAGTTTAAAAGGGAACGAAATGTAATGAATGTTATTTCAGTATTATTGTCTCTATCTGTATGGTGGGTGTTGTATGGCGGGAATGTTCAAGTGAACAGGTTTTGGGAGGTGTTTTTTCAGAGCATTACAAATTGGTATCAGAGCTGACCAGGTTTGAATACCTTGGGCTCGTGGGAAGTGACGTTTGTCACAATAGGTTTACTAGGCTAGGATGGGACGCTTATGTGCTTTGCATGCTTTGTGTGTTTATGTGACTATGTGGGTATGAGGTTAAGCTTCTAGGATATGACTAGCGTCCATTGCATTCATCAAAGTCCTTTTGGAAAAAGCACCTGATCAATGCTTTTTCTACTTGGAGGTCCTTGAGCATCATGAGACTAGTCAGTATTGTAGACACCCCATTTTTGACCGCCGTTAAAACTTGGGCGCCTCAGGTTGATCACTCGATGATGAAAGTTATGCTGTGCAAACGTTCGATTTCTTCAGCAAGAAGAGCTTCTAATCCCAACCTTACACCCAATTTTTGGACCAAAACTATTTTGACCAAAATTATTTTAGCCCTCAAAACCCTCTCTTTCAAAATATTTTTGAAAATGTGTCTACGATGTTCCGAGGCTCGCATTTTGTTAAAAATTGCACTTTTCGTTAAACCGATGAAGGACAAAGTGGAAATAAATGGAAGAGAATTGAACTCTTTGAAAAATCTTTAAAGCATCTTATTTAGAGGTTTGGAGTTGAAGAAAATGGGAGGGAAGAGAGGAAAACTAGTTAGGAGAAAAGTTAGGCATCAATTCGTTAGGATAAAACTAAGCAGCCTTCACTAAAATATTCATATCTCTTTGCACACTTAGAATTTAGATATGAGGCTTCCACCATTAGAAATTAGACTTTCGGGGCTTCAATTTAGACTCAAGAATGACCTAAAACTGAGTCCGGATGAAGGAGATATGCTCGTTTGAAATCGAGCCTGAAAACAGATTTTTGTGGCCGGCCACTTTAGTGGCCTGCCGACCCTTGCTAGTGGCCTGCCGGCCAGTAGTGAAAATTTTGCCCCTTTTGTGTCTTGCTGTCCACCATTAGTGGCCTACCGGCACAAGTGTCAAAAAATCAAATTTTTGCAGATATTTGTGCCAGCTGTTTCCACATTGCTCCACCTGTCTCTATATAGATATTTTCGACTGAGGCTCATATATTTCTATATATAGATGACCTCCCACTCATATTTTAAGATTAGAAAAATTTTGGGAGCAAAAATATCCTCTATCTCTACAATTCTCGCTCTCTCTCTCTTACAACTTGCATAGCCTTTGCCCAAACACTCTAAATCAAACCTAGAGAGATTCTTGCTGAGGTGATTCGAGCTTGAATTTGAGCTCTTGAAGCACTTTGGAGTGTGAAATTGTTGGTTTATGAATTAAGGGTTCATTCCTCTTCAAGAGGTATACCTTCTCTTGCATTTGTATTATCTTTACACCACTGGTTTTCCATCTTTTCTACTATTTTTTGGACTGTGGAGAGGTGGTTTGGAAATACTCTTGGATCCTGAAGGACATTCCTGATCCTCTGATTGCCACCTGAAAAAGAGATTAACACTCCGGTCAGGGGTGTTAGAATTAGCACTACGACGGACAAGTTAGTATATGTCTCTCGTTTGCTTGTGTCTTAAGTTTCTTTAGTCTGTTCTCACATACCTCTCTTTGGTTGATGCTCCTCTCTTTTATACTCGTCCCTAGTCTCGAGGGTCGGGCCCACTTTTAATCCAGCGCATAACTGCTCACTCAGCCGTTTTGTCGTGTGCCTATTCGCACTTGGCTTCTTGTACGTCTAATTCTATGGCTGATTTAACTATTCGGCTTATGGGTCCCCCAGGACAGAGCCGAATAGTATATATCCTGATTTTCTTCAGATTCATTTGGTTTTCCTACATATACCATTATTCAGCTCCCACAATTGCCCCCCGAACATCCTACTAAGGCCAGTTAATCGGCATGTTTGGTCTTGAACTTAGAGAGTGAAAAATACGACGGCTTCCCTCATTCCAACACAAGTGTCAAAAAGTTTACGCTTTTTAGGAATCATTATAATTTCCTGCCCCTTCGTATGCTTCATTCATTTATTGTGATTTGAAACCGTGTTGTCCATTCGAAAGTATTTTTGAATACGCAAAGCTTCTTGGTTGTCTGCTAGTTTGCCTCCTTCATTTCACGACCTCTGCAACTTCTTCTTGTTCCTTACTGTCTTCTCTACTTCTTGTAAGTTCTCCTCTTCTCCATTTCAACTCCCATTTCCTTGTTTGTTTTTTAGTCTAGCGTACTTCCTATACTGGCTAGGATGGCGAAACATCTGAAAACCCTTCTTTCTACGGATCGAGTTTTTGCTTTTCGACATCATTTTTCTATTCCTGACGATGTCCATCTGTCACCCGTGGCAGAGAGCGTAATTGACATGTAGAGGACCGATGAGAGTGCAATCATCTTTCCTCTTCTGTTAATCACTGAGGGCAGAGTCCGTTTCCCCTTTCACCCATTTTTGAGGGCCGTCCTTTATCACTGGGGTCTAATCCTTTCTCAGCCTAACATAAACTTTTATCGAATAATAATAGGAATTTTGGAATTAAACTGACGCTTTAGGCTCAATCTTGGAATCCCTGCTATTCGACATTGCTATGCCTTGGCCAAATCCTCTGGTCGGCAGGGGCATTACTTTCTCAGGGCCAAGGACACTGACCATCATTTGGTGACTATGCTTGCTAGCTTTGGCAAGCGTGTTAACGATGTCATGGTCGTTGTCCGAGGCAACTGGGAATTCGGCGAGGGCGAAGATCGCCTAGATCTTGTGCCTAGACAAAAAAGCGAACCAGGTGGCCGCATAGTCCTCCATGTGTATTTGTTATATATTTACTCGGCTTAGATTCTATGCACTTACCATTTTATTTACATAGGTAACGATTTGAAGAAAGTTCTGGTCTCAGCCGATGACGCTGTACTTGCGTAAATCAAAACCGCACTCCAGTTCTTTGGCCATCCAAACCTCCAAAAACAAGGGAGGGTGGCCCACATACTTCTGAGATACAAGCTAACTTACGCTATGTTTTCGGCCGTAGATAACATTCCGATTCCAAGAGGCGAACAACAGCTTACGGCGCTTATTTTCCCGAACTTCAAAAATCTTAAGGAGATTGGTCTTGAAGATTCAAATTTAGAGCCGGTGAACGAAAAAATAGCCGAAAAAGTTACTGAGCAACCGAATCAGTCCACCTTGGACAGATTCGATAGTCTTGGGGAGTAGGTTGACGCAGCTCTAAATTTTGCTTTTGAGGAAGCCGGCCTCATCCATCCAACCCTCCATCCACTTCAAGCCGAGTAGACGTCTCCTTTGAAGATATTTTTACCGACTTAGGGGACCTTCCCGGTGCATATCCTGAGAACATGGTTGGGGAGTCACTCACGCAGATGGCCAGGAGGAAAAACGTCGAGAGGATGGCCGCCCAGAGAAAATTCGAAGCCAAACGATCTGAACCTTCACTCGTTGCCAGGGCTGAGTCTTCTCCGCCTATTCCTATGGAAAAAATGACTCAGATTGATACGGCCAAAATGGAGCACATTGTCGATCAACAGGGCAATCAGGAGGCCGAGCATAGGGGGGAAAAACATCCTGCTGAGCACGAAGCTGACTCTGTAGAAAACCTAACTGATAAACAGTTGTGCATAGAGGAGTCAGACTTGGTTGTGTCATTTATCATACAACCGAGGATAAAGAATGTGCCGATTGCTTCTGATGCATTGGCTGTGAAAGACCCTGCTGTGGCCTTAAGCATGGCCTCTTCAATTTCCCTACCGATTGATAGAGCAACCTTTCGGGCGGAGCCGGATTTGCTGTCCATAGCATTAGCCGCTCAATCGACCATATTGGTACATGACTTGAGCCTTGTCTGCAGTCTTGCGCCTATATTTTTTTTTTTATTTAACTCTAATTCCTTGTTTTACAAACGGTGGGCAGGATAGCTAAGATTGGCCGCCGTCAACATGATGCTATAGAACAAATCAGCTTTCTCACAGCCGAAATTGAAAATAAAAAGAGCAAGGCCAAGAAGGCCTCTCTCAGAGCCGAGTCCGAGGCGATGAAAGCGGCAGAAGAACGCGCAAGGGTCGACGCCGAGACAGAAAAGGCCAAGAGTTCCGACCAACTCAGGTTGGCCACTGAAGAGAGGGCGAACGTGAGCGATGATGCGCTCAAGTTAGCCAAGAAGGTGATTGCCAAACTGGAGGCTGATTTGGAAGCATCGAAGAAGGCAAAGGAAATAGCCGACTCTGAGATTTCCAAAACATTCCAAGCTGGGAAGGACGCCGCCTTGGAAAATTACGTGGAGGAAGTACCCAAGTTCGAGAATTGGGGCTTCAAACACGGCTGGCTCAAAGCCCTCACTGCTGCTAATGTGACATTGGCACAACCGATTCCATACTGTAGACACCCCATTTTTGACCGTCCTCAAGACTTGGACGTCACCGTTTGAACACTCGGTGATCATCCTTGTTTGTGTTTGTCTTGAGTTCCCGAAGGTCTCGGCTACGCGCCTTGCCTCAGGATCTCTCGACTCGACTGTTTTGTGTTTGGTCTCGCACCAAACACTTGTGTTTTTGCTTTGGAGGGCAGGGAATGGCTTGTTGGCCATCCCCACACTCCACCGGCCATGGCTTGAGGCCACCGGTTGTGTTTTGTTGCCATCGGCCAAATGTTTGGCCGACCGGCACTCTAGATGGTCGACCGACCATGTATTTTGGTCAAATTGCATTTTTGGCTGGCCGACCACTGTTCATCTGCTTTTGTAGATATTTTTATGCCAGCTATGCTAGCTGGCATACACTTTGCTCCCCTCTATACACGTGTATGGAGGGATCTCCCTCTTGACTAGCTTACTTGAGAAGCTTTGCAAGAGTGAGCTCTATAAGAGGGAGCCTCTTCTCCCTCCATTAGGGTTAGAAAAAAATCCCAAGGGAGCTCTAGTTCTAGGGTTAGCATAGTTTATCTATTCTATCTCTATTTCTCTCTCTCTTTTGCCTTGTGTGTGTGTTTAGTCTTACTATTGCACACAAACACCTAGTCCTACACCTTCTCTTGGTTGCTGAGGGACCAGAAGGCTGTTCTTGGTGTTTTTGGGTGGTTTTGAGCTTGAAGAAGCTGCTGGAGCATCATTCTTGAAGAGGGTCAACAAGGGTAAGATTCTTGCCCTTTTTACCCCATATTTGCATAGTCTTTTAGCCTATCTTGCAACCTTTTTTAGACTCTGTGTATAACACATAAAAGTCTTGTTTTTTCCTAGTCTAAATAGTTGTTTAGAGTGTTTTGTTTTTTGAGGTCGTTTGACCCCTCTTAGGGCTTGTTTGGCCCCATTTTGTGCTACTTTGGGTGAGCTCTGGGACCACCTTGTTTGGGCCTTCTCGCCACTAAAATCTTGAGGATTTCAGTGGTGAGGATGGTGCCTTGAGGTCCTAAGAAGGAGAGGGCCACCCCCTCTCCTTGTTGTCCTTGAAAAGGGCCATTTTTACCTCATGTGTGAGCGTCATTTTTAAGTTCATGTTGGCCATGTCTTAACTGTCATTTGTGCTTATTTTTCCATGATATAGCACTGTTTTTACTTGGTTTAGACACACCATGCTTGCTTTGCATACTTGTCTTACAATGCCATGAAATTGCCTTAATATGTATCTAGCATTTAGACCACTATGCTTGCTTGTTTTGGCTTAGCTTTGTGAAGATTTTATGCATGTTTTAGTGTGCTGGAGGACTGTTTTTGGTTGTTTGGGTCATCCATGATTTGCTTTGTATAGCTACCATGTAATCCCTCTTGTAGGCCTTAAGTATCGGACCCTCTAGCATGCTATCCTTGCATCATTTCAGTGGCTTAGAACCACTTATAGCATCATTTCAATCCTCATGGCATGCTTGTATGCTTGCATTTGATGTCCCTTTAATGCTTTATAAGGTTGTCATCTTATGCTCCATGTTTGGCCTTGTAGACGTCCCTGAACGCCCCGGGAGGGTGAGTCCCGTTCCGTTCATATCGGGGTTCACTACAAGTTCGGACTCTAATTGTCACGGTTCTTAATCTGAACCAAAGAGTCCAAATCCGGCAAATTGTTTTGAGAAAACAGATTTTTTGAAAGAAGTGCCAAACATGGACTGTTTTGCCAGATACAGAGTCACCACCTAAATATTTTATTTTTGGGAAATTTAGGAAACCCTGACTCGTTGCCTAAGGCCACGTGTCCGTCATCACCAAAGTTGCCTCGGCTCGGGAACTTGGGTACGATTGGGGAAGGTCACTTTGTGAGCACCCCCGCTCACCCGATCAAAGATCGGCCTCTACTAACCATGATATCTAGTTTTGAAAACTTTATGCGTTCTTATTCCGGTTATTAGCCTAGATTTACTATGTGATGCGCACAGCATACAAGTATAGACTGGATCGCCTGAATTGGAACAAAACATTTCATGTTTGTTTATTTGAAAGTGGTTTGATGGTGCTACCCGCAAGTAGGCTAAGACGTGGATTTGCCACCCTTGGGTGGGCTTAGAAAAACATGATTTTGCCACTATCTAGTGGGCTTAAAACTCACGGTCAATGCATTTATTCCAATTCAAATAATGCAACATTCACCCACAGGCATTCAGGCAGTTATATCACATAAGCATATAGCCTCATGGTAAGCATGCTATCATGGCAGTCACTCACACACATGCAAGGATGCTAAAGCATAAACACTTACCGAGTACTCCAAGCCAAAACAAAGGCTATGTTAGAAATTCATGCATGATCCTAACTATACAGAAATGCCTAATGCAATACATGCAAAATGCAACTAATATAGGCTCGGCTATTCTAAGGATGGCATGTGAAATGCTACAACTAACAAGTATTCAATTTGGAATTGAAATACAAATGCAGTTAGTATGTACAAATGCAGTTAGAATGATGCGCCGAGCCCGGTGCATGCAAAACGAATGAATGGATGCAAACGTGCTATCATACTGTATGCTAATTGAAACATGCACTAATCTAACCATTATATGCTAGTAAATAAAAGGGAGAAAGACGTGGGGTTGGAAGACATACACACACTCACGCACACTTACTACACAATTGCCCTCGCTCGGAGGATCCGAATAAATAATGCAGATTTAACTAATTAACTAGCCGACTAACTAATTAATTAATTACAAAACTTCTAATTAATCAACAAATTAATTACAGAAATAGTCTAAATATGAAACTAAAGAGGCTGCCACAGCTCTGCCTCGGAATGCGTGGATGATGCATGCTTGACTCGCCTTGCTCGAAAACCTGTGCCATGCCACTGTTGCCTCTGTTTACACTGCTCTGCTCCTCTGAAAATTGTGCAACTCCCAAGGTGTACTCTCTGGACACTGGGGAGCATCACCGACCAAGTGGGATCACCACCGGCCATGTCTGGATGGTTATCGGCCATTTTTAAATCCATCGGCCAACAATGAATGGCCGGTCGGCAGTATAGGTGGCCGATCGGCCAAAGCTTCCTGCAGAACCTGTTTTTGACAGCAGCAGAGGGCAGACAGTGCATGGCAAGGAAATTCAAAGCAATGTATGCATGGCCACTCTCCCTATCATGCAATGGACTCAAAGGAGCATGGCCCTCGATCCTCGGGCCACCAATCACGCATTTCAATGCATGATGGCCCAAAAGTCAAGTATGCATTTCAATGTCAAATGCAATACACACAAAACATACAAGGGACCCAACCTCAATCATGGTTCATCAAGAGGTGAGGCAATGCACAACGATGCACATGCGACCTAAGCATGCAAGTGAACATACGAACATGCAATGCAACTACATGGCACACACAATGCTCTCAACTAAATACCTATACTTACCCATTTGTTGTATAATTTACGAATAAATTATTTCGGTGCAAAAATCGTGCTCAGTAGCTCGGTTGAGCGCACGCAGGAGTGCCTGGGTAACCTAAGTCTGCAAAGTAGAAAACAGGGGGGGTTAAAGCACTGATCAACGGACCGTGCTACAATTTAAAAGCAAGGTATAAAAGCCCTACTTCGGCCTCAAAAAACTGGTTCTATCTCGGTTCAACAAGAGGTTTGGTAGCTCGGTTTGAGCAGTTTGCGCGGTAGACCGGTTTAAATGTCTAGGGGCAGCTTTCTGATTTCGGTCTAAAAAGCTAAGAAGGCTGGTTTAGCCCCAAGGCCTATATCGGTTGCAGTTTGAATAGAGTTACTTCGGTTAAGCCTCTAGGGGCGGCTTTCTGAGTTCGGTTTAGGAACCAAGAAAGCCGGCTTGGCCCCAAAAGCTTAGTTCGGTTGACAACCAAGGTTCCTGGTTTACTATAATTCAAAACTTGGTGATCTTATTTCGGCTAAAGTGAGTCAGACTCTGATAACCCTTTGAAACTTTCAAGTTCTGGTTCGGTTATTGACTACAGAGATCTACCTATTTGGGGCAAACAGGATCCTAGTTCGGTTGCTATATGATTCTGGATCTAAGACTGATTTTTCTACATAATAGTTCTTACACACATGGAGTTCTTCTGGTTTTTTCATAAAAGTACGAAAGCAAAGCAACAAATGGAGAAAAATGTTTGCAAAAAGCATACAAAACAAAAACAGATGGTAAAACAAACAAAAAAGAGCAAGAAGGGTAGGCTTACTTACCAGATTGGAGAAGAAGAAGCTGAAGATGGAGCGGTAGCAGCGATGAAAAGCACGGATTTGGAAGCAAAGAAATGAAGGCAGAGAGAGAAGGTAGGGTATATGAATACAGGTGAATGATTCAGAAAGGAAGGGGTGTTTTGTGAAATATGAGAGAGGGAAGAGGAAAGAAAAAAGCGGGAACTGTTTCAAAATCACAAAGCACGAAGACGGCGTGACAGCCGTCCTTAGCCAACCAAAACATGCCACGTGTCATAAGAATGGGAAGCGTTACAGACACTATGATTGAAGAGACGTTTTTTGACCGGACAAAACAGGGCCCGGAGTAAAATTAGCTCGGCTTAAAAGTTCGAGGGTTTTTAGCTCGGCTGGAGAGGCTAAAGTATTTTTTAGCTCGGCTGGAAAAGCTTAAAACGCCAGCTCGGCTGGTGGACTGGTAATCCCAATCATGCTATGCAGATGGAATTAAGGGGCAATTGAGAGGGTAATTGTTGGGAAAAATTGGGCCGAGCTGCGAGTTGGGCATTGAGGCCCAAAACGCGAAGGACTAAGTAAAAGGCCGTAATGGATACTCCGACCCAGGAGAGCAATGTTACTCCGGCCTTGGGGAGACAAAGTTACTCCGGCCCAAGGTGGTGAAATTACTTCGGCTCACAAAATGATAAAGTCACTTCGGTTAGAGGATTGTAAAATGTACTTCGGTCT